TGTTCTATGTCTACTCTTACATGTCGTTATAGCTATTTCTACATTTGTAACATGTATCGTCTTGGTATGTACTTTCAGCTTGCAACAGCGGTTTTTTTTTCGAGATATTTTGATTCCAATATCTATAATGTAGTGGCTCTAAGAGTAGACCTCTCTTAGAGTCATCGCAAAAATACACATAGTTGTGATTTTAATTATTCAACAAAGTCTATCCATAGTCTCTTTCTACCCCCATGGGAGACAGGCGTGAAGTTATGTACATGTATGTATTACTTGAGATCACTTCTTAAATAGCAGTTTATCTTTTCCTATATTTATTACGTTTGTAACTAAAACTGTTCAAGAACGACTTGTCCCACTGTATCTCCATCACAATGTCCGTAGCCTGTCACATCTGTTTTTATTTTTTAGTCCCTCAGCACTTACTGTTTATGTTAAACGTAAACGTTCCCTACATTAGCCTCTTAAAGGGACTAGGAGAGGACGATAAGGAAAACGATTTCAAGATATTTTTATTGTGCTATATACTTGTTGCCAAAGTACCAAGGGATCGAAGTTTTTAAAGTAATGAAAAGGAATGCATTGAAAGTGAAGAAAATTCTTTAAGAGATCTGTGAAACAATTCAAATAATAAAGCTAAAGTATTTTTTTTTTACTTCGGAAAGAATGAATGAAATATTTTTGAATTTGAATACTTTTTTGTTGGGAATAAGTTTGGTGAGTTCGAGGAATCTTTTGAAGTCTGTAGAAGTTTTGCTTCCTGTTACTTGGTATTGTTTATAACTGGGTTTTGGGTGTATTGTACAATAGTAGGAATTGGTTTACTATTTATATACTATTTACATCTTTACCTTCTTATTCTTGTTTTAGACATTTATATTAGTTTTTTTCAACATACTGGGACTTTTCATTATTAATATCTGATGAAACTGTTGTAAATTTGCTTTATATTCGAAATCATTTACTTTTTTTTAAATATTTCATGGGCTGACACTTTTGACTACTATCTCACCTGGTGGTAAGCGATGATGCGGCTTACGTTGGAGCACGTCTACCCATAAGTAACCTATTCACTCGGGCCTTGAAGGCACCCAGGTTATTCCCTTCAGGAAACTCAGACTCTGGCAAAGAATTCCACTCTTTAGCAGTACGTACAAGGAAGGTTGATGCGAAGCGCTTCGTGCATGTGGGTGGGCCATTTTAGTTTAATTATTTGCTCTCTAACTTCCCGTAATGCTAGCACCAGACATGTCTGCACGTGTTTGTTTACATGCGTGTTCGTACACGTACAAAATAACACCAAATGTACGTGTTACACAATGTGAACACCTATGCGAATAAACGACAGCACATGTCTGGCGCTGGCATAAACAATATGTATAAAGACGTTCGTTCGAAGAGAAATTGTATCGTCTAGGAGCCATCACCAACAATCTAGCCACAGCCATAACCCCATCAATAATGGAACTTCTATCACAATAGTTATTGTCCTCAACTCACCTTTTTGGTAACAGCATAAGCCTTGGTACCATCAAACCTTGAAGCGAAATGCATTGCAAAATATACAAAGCCAGCTTGTGAAACTACACCATCGATCAAATTCTGTTAATCGATTGTCAACTTTATTTCTTTTGTGTTGAAGGTGAAAGTTCTTTGATGTTTGCTCTGAGTTCTGGGGTAGGTTGATGTGCACTCGTCTGTACATTACACTTCATTTCTTTCTTTAGTTTGCGGAGTCGTGATCAAATTATATTGAAGCACGTCTGGTATCGATTCGTGCTTTCACGGAATTAGGGACCAGTGGGGCTTCGAAACTGTTTGTAGGGCCGTTGAACATTAACCTGTTTTTTTTTCTGAATCACAAAGTAAATAATTGTAAGGTGTGTGTTCCCGAAGGCCGTAAGTGCTAACAAACTACACACTAAACATAGACTGAGCAGCAACTAAGTGTGGGAGAGCCATGCTTCGGCATGAATGGGCCGCCTCGACCGGAGTGATACCACGGCCTCACACAAAACCGACGTGATGCAACGCTTGCGTTGTGTTTCGTCGTGTGAATGAGGTTACCGGAGGCCCAATTACCCTCCCCTTCCCCAATCTCCCCAATTCCTGAATCCCCAACGATCCTCAAACTCCTAATCCCCAAAAAGCCGGTAATGCACTTGTAACGCCTCTGGTGTTCCAGGTGTCCATGGGCGACGCCGATTGCTTACCATCAGGTGATTCGTCTGCTCGTTTACCGGCTTATGCCATAAAAAAAGAAAATAACGATTTTATAATAAATATGAACTTTTTAATTTTTAATCTCTCTTTTATTATAGTAAACCCACTTTTGTGCAGGTACCAAAAAGTCCACATTAGATTATAAAGACCTGACAAACAGTTAGTTTACTGCCGAAAAAAATTAGGCTTTGGCCATATTAGTGCGTCAATAAACTTGTGATGCCTTTAGTGATGCAGATGACCTACTTTCAAATTCAAATTCAAAATTCTTTATTATCTTAAGAATTACACTATCTGTCTAACATTGAGGCAGTCCCAGTAAGTTATTATACAATACTTGTGTTGGGACTGACTCGATCCTTTCTTTATTTATTTAACACTCTTAAGAATAATAACCTCCAGATCTGCTAATTAAAGGAAAACAACAAAACTTAAAGTAGATATACTTTAACTACAGTGATCAAGCTGTAAGCTTAGTCGCTACCGATGCTAGTTTTAAAAAAACTTATTAAAATACGGATAAAAATCTAATATATAAAATGGACAAGCAAGACCAAATCACATTTTGGTATTATGATTCAATCTATATTTTTAATAGAAACGTTCATAAGAGACTTCATAAGGTTTGATTTTCCGCAGAAATGTGATTTCTGAATAAAAATATTATTATTATATTATTTTACTACTGTCTGCCCGTCTATTGAAATAAGTCTTGGCTATGATATCATATAGAGAGCTAAATGAATGGTCTTCTGTAGATAACTTAATACTGCCTTTAGCAATAAATTAGGCTTTCACTGTCGGCTGGATATAGGCGACACGGAATTATTAAAGGAAAATCTTTTAGTCCTATATGGAAGACAAGGATTTCTTCGCGGCTTTATCTATGAATTCTGATGATAAAGTTCAAAAGTGGTTTTGATGATAGTATGTATGTAGTAATTCATTGTTTTTTTTTTAAGGTGGGAAAATCATCGAATGACTGCTCCCGCCTGGGTGAGGCGGGAGGGAGTGTTAGACTCTTACTGACTAAAAACCACCCCGTTCATTCTCCTGCACGTCGAGTTGGAGCCCCGGTTACCCGTTAGGTTCTCCGCGACAGTAATTCATTGTTTGGATTTTATCAGCATCACAATTTTCAGACACAAGACGTTTCATCAATATTACCAATACTGGAGGCCAGTTACGCCTTCCACTTCCCCAATCTTCTTAACCTCTGAATCTCCAACGATCCTTAAACTCCTAATCCTCAAAAAGCTGTTTACCCACTTGAACCGCCTATGGTGTTCCAGGTGTCCATGGGCGACGCCGATTGCTGACCATCAGTTTTCTCACACAGAAAAGGTTTGAAAATTAATCACCACGCTTGCTCAAGATAAGGCGTTTACTGCTGGACATTAGTCTTACTCTTCCTATGACTTCCTATATTGCTGATTGCAGGCCTGCTCCTACCAGCGCTCTCCTTCCTTTATCTAATCATGTAAACCTTGTGAACTATACATATGTTGACATCTATTGGAGTTAATAGGGTAGTAGACTAATTTTTTTAATGTCCGCCTGGTAGGCTATTTTAAAACATTAGACACGTATTTTTTCTTTTCTTAGAAAATTAAATACTTTCGACGATATATTGTTTTGAAATATCGTTTGACGTCATGATTTACTATATTTTATTGGGTAGCGTGAAGTAATGACCTCCCACTGCTAAACTTAACTCTGTTTTATCTAAGTATCGTTTTCTTATACGACAAAATAAAAAAAAAATGTGTCTAATATTTTATCATTATCTAACTGACGGACATAACATTTTTAATTGTCATACACTGTCTACTACCCTATTGGTTAGGATTGACAATTTACTTGACACGCAATGACGATGATGAACAACAAACATCACTTTTCTGTAAGGCTTTATATATTTTTTAGTCTAACAGAATGACATTCGGTCTATGTTTAGTATTAGTAAAGATAAAGTGTTAATAACTTGAGTGTATTCGTGTGAACGAAAAGTGTCTTCAAGAATCGAATAGTGGATATTTGGCTGGTCTTTCTATATTCAATCTTGCTAAGACTTGTTTATTGTAATGCTTCTATTTTATATGTTGAGTGGATTGGAATGTGATGTCATAGGAGCAGACGAATTATTGTTAGTAATGCAGTATCTTTTAGACATCAAATGAGTACGTTCTTATTATTATTTTTTCAATCATAAGATGTTTACTATTGAATATAGGCCATTTTTAATGACCTGCGTAATAGATAGCGTCTTCTCTTGTGATTATATTAATATTAATTAGTTCGTCTAAAGTCCAAGGTTGCATTTGCTGGGACGTATCCCTTATTCATTTAAAACTTTATAATAATTACTGCATTTACGACTTTATTTTCCCTATGGATCAGTCGAATATATTTGCTCATATTGAAATATTTAGTAAAAATAAATTCTACGGCTCAAAGCAGAAATAGAAATGGAGTGTTTTATAGTCAGTAAGAGACTCTCTGTCGTCTCAAACACAAAGTGGAAAATCCATTGGATTATTTTTTTTGATTAAAAAACAAAAAAATATTAAGTAACATTTTTTCTTCAAATTAATACACACACATACAGAACCCTTCAACGTCAAACGTTGAACTATTCTTCGTTGGAAGTCATTTTACTTGATTCCGTGCAAACTTTTATGAACGCCTTGCCTTAGTATTGATTTATTTTCTTTTTTTTCGCTTCCCCTATTGAACGAAGTTCGGCAAGTCAGTGTGGCGTGCTGTGCTGTGTATGGTGGAGCGGTAGCCATTTTATTTTGTTTGCGAATATTGTATAAATAAATTGCCAGTTTCGTTGCTGCTTGCGAAATTTTTTTAAGGTGAGGTATTTGAATTTTTAGGTTCGTATAATTTCATTTTAGAGTCATTGCATGTCTGCATGCTTATTTCATTTTATCGAAGACCATGCTATATGACAAATCTTTGTTCAAGCCAGTGATCATCTGAGCAATTTGCATCTAGTTGACGGTTACTGTGTTGTTAGTCAATTGACTGTAAATGCGATTGCTGACCGTGCCCAGGCTTACACCTGTGTATTCAACACATACATCATTATACACAAATTCATCAAGAAAGCTAATCTATTGCCAAACATCATTTCAGACTCCACTTTGCTAGAATAGAGTAGATTCGTAATTTTTATTTTAATGTCCGTCTGGTAGATTATTTCGAATCATTAGACACGTATTGTTTACATATTTTCTTACAGAAACGAATACTTTCGACGTTGTATTGATTTGAAATGTCGTGTGACGTCACTTCTATGTAAATTTTATACATTGAAATGACGTTTTAGCCGCCACTACTAAACTTTTTATACAAGTATTGTTTTATCATACGACACAATAAAAATTACGTGTATAATACTTTTTCATTACCTAACTTAAGGACTATTTATAATCTTAATTTTCATACCCTGTCACCATCCCAATTCTTTTAATCGTCCACATTTATCGCATATCATGGTAGTTTGCTACTTGCATCCACTCAACAAACTAGCAACAGGACAATCTTAACATGCTCAGTGTCAACGTGGTCTATGTAGACTGAGGTTGGCGGTGGACTTTGTCATCAACGGCCTCATAGAAAACAGACGTGATAAAACGCTTGCATTGTATTTCGTCGTGTGAGTGAGGTTTCCGGAGGCCTAATTACCCCCATCCCCAGTCTTTCCAATCCCTGAATCCCCCACAATCCTCAAATTCCTAATTCTCAAAAGGCCGGTATCGCACTTGCAACGCCTATGGTTTTTCGGGTGTCCATGGGCGACGCTAATTGCTTACCATCAGGTGATCCGTCTTATCCCATAAAAAAATCAACAGATTATTTTTTTCAGAATATAGGACGAAATCGATAACGTGAATTGTCATTAGTAACAGCGGCCTCTAAGTAAATCCTCGAAACTAAGATTTTCTATTTAAGTTTGTTCTAGTTATTCATTGTCAAAGGAATTGTTATTGGGTACTTGCTAACTAGTCAAATTCAATACTTTTTTCTGATTGTGAAAAACGACAGTTTTCTATGAGTTTTGTACGACATTGTATCTATATTGGGACGTCACTTTTTTTTAGCATCAAATGGCATAGGTTTCTGGAATAATACTTAAAATTAAGTTGGTCATAAAGTCAATTAATGAAAGTATGATTATTTTGTAATATTTTATTGCACTGACTGCCTCGTTGGCCGAGTGATCGCAAGTGCGACTGCCGCGCAAGAGGTTTCGGGTTCAATTCCCGGGGCGGGCAAAGTGTTACTGTATTTAAAAAAAATCTCAGTAGTAGCACGGAGTCTGGAATTGTGCCCGGTATATGGCAATAGGCTCACTCTCTATCACATGGGACTCATAACATAAATAGTGAAAAGTAGGTTTTACATTGTACAGTGGCATAATGTGCACCTCTGCCTACCCCTTCGGGAATAAAACGCGTGTTGCTATGTTATGTTTCTTGCATTGAACAGTAGTAGTAAGCAAGTATATATTGATATATTATGTATGTATGAAGGCATATTGTACTCATGTGTAGGTATATATTATAATTAAATTTATTTATGTATGTATATCTCCGAAATATATTAGTTTATCCTTTCATTGTTAAATAAAATCACTGCTTGCCTCTTGCACCTACCATTTACTCTTCTCTGCATCACCCAAAGGTCAGACTGGTAGAAAATGCCTGCGGCATTAAGACCACCTTTTTGTACATTTTGTGCATGAAGCATATTAAATAAAACAGTCGAATTAAATCTTTTGTTTTAAGAAAGTACCCATTTGTAAAGCTGATTCGCTTCCAACGATACACCATATTATTTTGTCCAGTGCTGAACAAAAATAGCTTGAAGTTTCATCAAGGTTGCATCAGAAAACAAGTATACAAAACTGACACATAATACATGATATGAAGGAACAAAATCGTATGGTAAAGGTTTATTAAAGTGTGTGTCAGTAAGCGATCATGATGGTAATCAACGCGCCTAGCTTTGTATCCAATCAAAACATTTTAATCAATCTATCAATCATTGTGCACGCATTAGTAATAATAGGGTAGTTAGACAGTGTATGAAAATTAAAAATATAATTACTCCGTGCGTCAGTTAGATAATGAAAAAATATTAGACACATATTTTTTTATTTTGTAGTACTTTTTTTATAGCATAAGCCGGTAGACGAGGAGACGGATCACCTGATGGTAAGCCATCGGCGCCGCCCATGGACACCTGGAACACCAAGGCGTTACAAGTGCGTTACCGGTCTTTTGGGAATTGGAAATTTGAGGATTGTGGAGCATTCAGGGATTTGGGAGACAAGGGAGGGGGGTAATTGGGCCTCCGGTAACCTCACTCGAACTCGAAACGACGAAACACAACGCAAGCGTTGTTTCACGTCGGTTTTCTGTGAGGTCGTGGTATCACTCCGGTCGAGCCGGTCCATTCGTGCCGAAGCATGGCTCCCCCACACCTATAAAAAACAATACTTAGACAAAACGGAGTTAAGTTTAGGAGTCGTTACGTCACGTTACCTTATAAAATATAGTAAATCGTGACGTCACAAGATATTTCGAATCAATATATCGTCAAAAGTATTTCATTTTGTAAGAAAAGAAAAAATACGTGTCTAATGATTTAAAATAGTCTACCAGGCGGACATTAAAATAAAATTTAGTATCCTACCCTATTTCTTATGTAGGTAATTATCACAGTAGCGTTCTATTGAAGCGTCGCGGAGAACCTAACGGGTAACCGGGGCTCCGACTCGACGTGCAGGAGAAGGAACGGGGTGGTTTTTAGTTAGTAAGAGTCTGACACTCCCTCCCGCCTCACCCAGGCGGGAGCAGTCATTCGATGATTTTCCCCCCTTAAAAAAAAAGCGTTCTATTGAATAGGCTTTTGTTAAAATAATGAATAGAATAGTAACTTTTTTTTATGGAATAGGAGGCAAACGAGCAGATGGATCACCTGATGGTAAGCGATTAGCGCCACCCATTGACACCTACAACACCAGAGGAGCCACAGGTGCGTTGCCGGCCTTTTAAAAAGGAATACGCTCTTTTCTTGAAGGTTTAAAGGTAAAAACTATCTGATAATGTGTTATAACTTTCGTGAGACATAAATTAATTACTGCCTCGTTGGCCAAATGGTCGCAAGGGTGACAGTCGGCCAAGAGGTCTTGGGTTCGATTTCTGGTCGGGAACAGTATTACTTGATTTTTTTTTAATTTTCAGTAGTAGCACGGAGTCTGGAGTTGTGTCCGGTATATGGCAATAGGCTCACCCTCTGTTACATGGGGCTCATAACATAAATAGTGAAGAGTAGGTGTTACATACAGATCCCATCTCCAAATATACTATAGTCCAATTCCCCCTTTTAAAAACATCGACAACACCCCCATCGATAGATTTGCTACCCATCCCTACAACAGTACAGAAACTTCGCCATAGAGTAAGCAAATAGCCAGTATTGTCCCAACAATGATACCCTTATTTAATCAGAGACACCTGCTTGTCTTGATTCTAAGCCAGGGGTGTCCAACCTTTTCGTAATTAAGGACTACTTTCATATCATTATTGTTAGGTTAAAGACCACTATTAGGCTCTATCATTTATTTTATGTAGTCAAAGATTTGCTCCAGAGTCATGTGGTTCATTCTCGTTTTGTTACTAAAATCAGTTGCTCTTCTTTTTAGGGTTTTAGCTGTACTACCTACTTAAACTCTAAATTTATTGGACTGAGATGTGGTCTTGTGTATATGTTTATTCATTTCGCGTTCATGCATCAATCGGTTGGGAACCACTGTCCTAAACGGTAAGTAGTATAAGGTAATAGGACAAACATTCTCTTATTGTTTTGGGTAAAGGTGGTAATGGAATCTTATGGGATTCTTAGGTAGTTTCTTTATGGATATGATGAGAATGGAATTTGTTGATGGTGGACCAAGTGCTTATAGTTCAACTAGAAGATTTTTTTTCATTCCACCGTTTTCATTATTACTGATTTTTTTAAGGGGGGAAGTCATCGAATGTCTTTTCTCGCCTGGATGGCGGGAGGAAGTGTCAGACTGTTACTGACTAAAATGCACCCTGTTCCTACTCCTGCACATCGAGCTGGAGCTCCGGTAATTTTTTACGTTCTCCGCGACTCCGTATCGGCATCAGCCCTATTGGACCCATCCGTGGTGGTCATCAGACTACTTGGTGGTCTGATGGTTAAAGGCGCGCGTGGAACGAGACACGCAATATACTCGGGTCTGGTTCTGGTTGGGCGGCGAGCATTATTACTGATAGAAAACAAAATGTTATTTCATATAAGGATGTTAAAAAAAAGATGGGCATAATATCACTTACAAATGATTGAAGCACCAAAATAAATATCAGTGGTTTATTAAAGTGTGTGGGTAATTGGTTACCACGTTACCAGACTTGAGAAGATGACACATGTCCTTCGTATCAATGTATTTTTTATTTATGTTCTGCGTGTAAGTCTATAGTAACAAGGTGCCACAGTAATTGTTCCAAGATCTGTGCCTACCTTTTTGCAACATCCTTGGTTTTGTGTATAGTTTTACTATCCTTGGTTTTGGTTTACTAGATTTCTTTTAACAACTAAGAATTATTTCTATCATACATTTTGTTATAGCAACTTGTGGTTTAATTGCGCCAAATTCTGAAATAAAAGTCACCTAAAGAGAATTAAAACGTTAACCATAATGATTGAATAGACACGCTGTATACATTTATACAGGGTGATTTGTAACTCGACCAAAATCTCGTATGGGGTTATAGAAAAGATCAATTCCAACACTTTTGTCACACAAAAGGATAGGCGGAATTGTACGATTATTAAAATATGTAACATTTAATGTTAATTCCAAAATGACGCCCGCGGTTACTCTAAAACTGAAAAACAACAAAAAGAAACGCACTTGACATACATTTATTTTTTAATTATCTTACTTTAGTAGTTTATTTACCAGCTCTTATCATCAAATACACAATAATAATGTTATTTTAGACCTAATGATCCCAAATTCATAAAATAATTGTTTTTTTTTCAAGTTTGACTCAAAAATATGTTTCCCTGGCATAAAAAAATACCATAACGCTTGATGTGCACTTTTGAGATTGTGTTCGATTTAGAAATTAACTTGTCCATGGTATTCAGCTTCTTGCTATCATTTCGTCTCTGCATCACCCAAAGGTTTGGCTTAAAGAGAATGACCATGGCATTAAGCCCATCTATGTCTCTATTTTAGTCACATTTTAGTCCATGAAGCCTTAAATGAATAAAAAAATCGTGACAAGACTTCATGGTTGTAATTTTTATATCATTACATAAAATTCGCGTTGTCACTTTGATCGTGTCATTGGATTTGGTCAATGACTGACATAAATAAGTATCTTATATTTTAGGTTACATTAATCTATTTATTTGTTTAATTTCATTGCATTGATGAGCTAAATATTTTATGTTTTGACAGGAAAAATATGAAGTAAATGGTGATATGAGTTTAATGAAAGAATACGAATAAAAAGTTAAAGTGAATTCATAATATTTATTTAAAACGGGTTGGTCTGGTCTTTCATTTTTATTGATTCTTTGGAAGTAAGTCTAAATTAGGTACTTATTATTATAGTTTTTTTAATTAGTAAGCGTTAAGTTTACAATAAATAGTGCTAATAAATCTAGCATTATTCTTTTAGAATTTTACTTGCCATTCATCATCATTATCAACAGCCAATAAGTGTCCACTGCTGACCAAAGGCCTCTTCTCACAAGGAGTAGGTTTGAGCATTAATCGCCACGCTTGCTCAATGCCACTTGCACTTCTGATGAGCAAATTCAACAAGTAGAAATTATGTAGTTTTAGTATATTATACGATTCCATATCTCAAAAATCTATCTGTTTAAAAGGTTTACTTGATAATTTGTATTAGTCTTAGAAGAAAATTTATGAACTACTGAGAGTCATTTGTCCAGTAGTAGACAGAAATGAGCTGACAAGGGTAATGATGGATACAATTAATTAAATACTAGTTACTTCCACGCGGTTTCACACGCTCTGCTCGGCTCCTATTGGTCGTAGCGTAATGTTTTATAGCCTATAGCCATCCTCGATAAATGCGCTATCCAAAACAAAAATAATTATTCAAATCAGACTTGCAGTTATGAAGAAAAGCGCGTTCAAACAAATAAACAAAAAAACAAACTCTTCCGCTTTATATAATAGTATAAGATATTATATTTTATTTAAAAACGCTGTTTATTTCAGTTAAACAATCATGGCGAAGAACGACGCAGAAACGTTGGAGAAAATGAAACTTCTTGAAGAAAGGATAAAGGCTCCATCTATATGGGGTCGGGTCGCTTGTGGGATCAGGTTCGAAGACCTTCAGGATAGAAGATACGATGATGCTGTACGATTGCTGAAAAAACACTATTTGTCTGAAGAGGTGAAGTGGTATTTTTATTATGTTACTCTTAATCAGGTGGTCTAAACTCAATTAGACCATTCAGCCAATTTGTTTTTAGTCTAGGACACTGATTGCAGATGACGTTAACAAAAAAAGTTTTACAGGTATGATGACGATTAATCCTTTTTTTACTGACTTCAAACCAAGGAGGTTCTTAATTTGACCTGTATGTATGTATGTAGGTATGTATGTATGTATGTAGGTATGTATGTATGTATGTAGGTATGTATGTATGTATGTACGTATGTATGTTGGTGCGCGATTATCTAGTGATTGGCTGAATTGGTTTTGTTGCAGTTTTTAGAATAGTGTTTGTTCACTTAAATGAAGGTTATAGTATATTAATTAACCGAATTAAAAAAAGAGAGTCTTTAAAATATAGTTTAAAATGATTTTTTTTCAAACTTGTTATTGAATGTTCTCAAAAATCATTATTTATTCTCCGGACTAGCACTGTTTTTATTTTTAAAAACGTTGCCCCACACTAGGATTTTCTCCTGTGTCATGGGTGCATTTATAAACATACAAGTTCACTTACACGTGACACCCAGACCCGAAACAACAATTTGTGGATTGCACAAAGCGTTGCTCCGTGCGGGAATCGAACCCGCTACACGTTGTGCGGCAGTCAGTTAATCAGCCACCGCGCCAACCGTGCGGTCAAAGAAGTGCTACCCACTTTTCGCCTGTCTTGTATATTAATGTGCCGAAAATCAGGTTATTGCCAAAAACTACATCTCCAGTGTCGATTTAAAAAACCCAACAAAAATATAGAAATCTAGACGATTTGCTCAATAGTATCGCTTGAGACTATTTGATCATCGAGGTACCAAACTAAATTAATCACTGGAATTTCAGAATTTTGATAAACATGATTTAATACTACGCAGTATATAGCTGGCTGTCACTCTTCATTATATTTCAGTTGTCGCTTAATTACATTAAGTTGTTCAGGCGTCGTACCGTACTAGAATCAATAATTGCGTCAGGTGTCAAATTATCGTTTAGAAGAAAACGTAAAGATTTCCGTTATCTAAATAGTTATTTTTCTAATAAAATTGTGACTATGGAATTATGATCGAAGAAATGTAGGAATTTTCCATTTCTTATTTCTATGCTACGCCAGGTGCTACGCCGTAGTTCTGTGCTACGAAAACGCTACTACGGTTTTGTAGTATCTTAAACTTAGTCATTAGATAAAGTTTCATCAAAAGCAATAATAGTTTGAGTTGCAAAACAGTTTTACAAGTTTATATGCTACGAATTAAAAGTAAAATAGATCCAAACCATAAGCTGTTTGTAACACTTTCCTCTTGAAATAGAATAAAAAATGTTTTTACAAGGAATGTGGCAATCGGTTCGTAGCTGACTATTTAATTAAAGGCTAAAAACAAAAAAGATGAATCGCCCCTTCGGAAATCTTAATTTACTTAATTAAAGCTTTGAACTGACACGCGACTAGGAATGGGAGGCGGCAATTTTATAGCTATTCTGTTAATTTAGATATTTTGTTTGAACTACCATAGTATGAAAAGCTGTTATTTTCTGAATCAACTATTTCTATTTATTTACTTCAATCAAAATAGTATAACATTACTGTCAAAATACCATTTTTATTGTGTGTTATGTTCTTTTTGTCTGATTCGTTGATTGCTTGGTCTTAAGTGTGAATGCCGAGTAATCTAGAGTTCGCTACCCTGCAGTCGTACCTAAATACCATTTAACACTTGTTTACATGTAGAATATAAAACCAAATTATATGGAATTGACGCAAATTTTGACACTTGTCAGTGTCATCCCCATACATTTTGATTTCTACTCTCTCTGTAGACAAGCGCTAAAGTGGCGTTTGGCTAAAGGCACAGGTTGCATAAGGTGTGTTATTAGGGTTATTTCAGGTTTATGAAAATTTGAATAGCTTGTGTTCGGTATGCAGTGATAGATTTATTTGATACACAACCTATTATATATCTGGTACCCATGCATATGGCGTGTCACGTTTCGCGCGCTCTTCAAAGAGCCATCAGACCACCACCAATGGGGCTGCATCATCATCATCCATATCAGCCCTATTGGGCTTAACGGGTTGCCGGGGCTCTGGCTTGTAGGGCAGCAGTAGGAAGCGGGTGGTTTTTAGTCAGTAAGAGTCTGACACTCCCTCCCGCCTCACGAAAGCGAGGGATCTCATTCGAAGATTATCACCTTTAAAAAAATATATATATATCTGGTGAGGTTTTATGTAGCTTATGAGATTCTGTTGATGTAACAACTCAATATAGCATCACTATCACGGAATCATTCACAATGTTCTCGTCTTTGGAAGCCTTTAGATTCAGTCAGTTACAAGATTGTGTTAAATACAAATTGCTTGTAGTTTTCATATAGGCGTTTTTATCAGCATGTACAATATAGCTGTCGACTATTATTTATTTTGAGCCTGAGATAATTATTTATTTTGTAGATATTTGTTGACGTTTCAAAAGTACCAAATTATGGTTTAATTGAAATAAATGCTTTGACTTTGTCGTAATAATTTGCAATATTATATAAGTGGGTGTTAGAGGTACATTGTACAGTGGCATAATGTGCACCTTTTTTTTCGTTTTTTTTACAAATATCTATTATTTAAAAAAAAAAACTAAAAAGTTTTTTTTTTTGGTTATTTCTACCGGCTCTTTTTATTTCTTGTTTGTGAACCAAAAATGTAACACGTAAAAAGCTCTACTGTCAGTAAATGACAAACAGATTAAATCACTATTATTGTACCAAAATTACATAATAACATAACATGGCGCCCTTTATCCCCGAAGGGGTAGGCAGAGGTGCACATTACGGCACTTAATGCCGCTGTACAATGTAACGCCCACTTTTAACTATTTATGTTATGAGTATGAGTCCCATGTAATAGAGGGTGAGCCTAATGCCATATACCGGGCACATTTCCAAACTCCGTGCTACTACTGAGAATATTAAAAACCCAGTAATACTTTGCCCGACCCGGGAATCGACCCCGAGACCTCTTGACCAGCAGTCGCACTTGCGCGTACTGGGCCAACGAGGCAGTCCAAGTACCAAATTATAAATGGCAAATTTCTAAGTCGACTGAACAAGATGGATTCACGTGATCATAGTACGATCCCGCTTACAATAGGACCACGTAACTCGTTCCAAAAATGATTGAAAAATACTTTAGATATTTCTTTTATAAACCTCTTTTAAACTTTATTAAATAAGTCCCTATTCATTTTTATGTCCAATTTCAACAATTTGCTTGGAAAATATTTTTGATTTGATTAAAATACTTTTCGAATTAGACTATGTTGTTGAAATTAAAAGTATTTTACGAAGAAAATATTTTAGAGTCTTAATCTTTATTTAATTTACTTTGAACTAATACCGTCTCAATTTGAACAAGATTAAGACGAATAAATGCTGGTGGAATGCATTTGGGGCGTTGAACCTTGTGACAAACGTCATGTTCAATAGAAAATGTTAGTTAAGTTAGTGACAATACTGTTGAAATTACAATGATGGCGCAGATTTTCAGTCAAATGAATAATTCAACTGCGTACATATATTTTTAATTTTCGTCTTTGTTTCTTGACATACCGTATATAATTTGCATTTTTGTTACATTTGTATCATGTCGTAGAAATAGTATTGCTAAAAAATCTTGGCATCGCCACATTTAAAAAAAAATTCATGCCCTAAATATATTTCTTATGATTGCTGTTATTTACTTAACTAGCTGTTGCTCACGACTTCATCCGCGTAGTATAATGACTTCTGCCAGAATTTAGGCGTTTGAATTATTTCCTAAATATGAAATATAATGAGTTTTTATCAAGGGATATTCTACGGTAATGAATGTCATCAGAATTGATTTAGTGTCGTAAGCGATCGTATGATAATTAGCTAATATATTGATCCGACTTGTTAGTAATATTCATGCAAAGTTTGAAGTAAATCCATGCAGTACTTTTTGAGATCATCCCGGACATACATACAGACAAACAGACAAAAATTCCAAAAAACATATTTTTGGCTTCTGTATCGATTGTCGATCACGCTCCAAGTATTCTTTTTTAAAAAATATTCAATGTACACTTTTGACTTTTCTACGATTTTATTATATATGTATATATTAATATCCATGACGAGTCTTTTGATAAATGCATGCAACTTATAATTGAGTGACGTAACGTTGCAGCATCGTTGAGAGTTTTCATTTGTAGGCCGCCTATTATCACTTAATGTTTTGATAATAATACACTAAGACTTAATAAAGTTCACAATTTTAGGATTTTGAACTCTTTCCCATGTTAGGAACAATTAAATTTGATTGAAAAGCTCTAATATATAAACTACCTTTTTGCAGATTACGTACAGATCTGTCAAAATAGTAGAAGATAAAGAGGCAACGGATGAGTTTGTACATAATGTCCGGATTTGGATGAAAGACAAGATGTCCATCGCTGCTGTTAAGGAAGGCACTGATAAGCTGGTTGGACTTCTTATTATGAGGATTCAGGAGAAGAGTAAGTTAAACGTGGTATTAGTGTTATTCTTGTGGTATAAAGTTCCTTCAGATTTTCGAAATTAATATAAAATAAGAGAAAAAATCTTACAATTTATTTCTCAATCAGGCCAATTTATATAAACCTATGCAGGGTGGCCGGGCAGTTGATGTTCAAGCCTAAAATTAAGATACTTTATGATGAGGAGAATTCAAATCATTCCCATGTATGTTATACGATTTGGCGTATTTTTCGAGTTACAATATTTTTAATGATTTCTTTCGTAATTTTCACTTAACATCAGTTTTCGATTTTTTCTCATTCTGTTGTATATTGTCTGCCAACCCTCAATACAATATACAGATATTGTCTCGTTAGGCATAGGCATAGCATATCTTTTCCCGTAGACTTGCTTAACGTTTAACACTAGAAAGACCAAGGCAGTCAAATTGACCGCAAGGCAATTTCATTGTTAAATATTTTGCAAACTATGTTTTAGTTCCTTTTAATATTTTATGACTTTTCCTAATTTGCTATTCTTAAGCTTAATCTATATTTATAAAAAAATAACTATATGTTGTATTTGAGTTTCGATTACAAATACCTACTAAGACCGCGCACCGTCAATGTGACGGTATACATATAAAGACAGCGATAAGAATAGTGAACAACGATCTCTTCAAACTAAAGTGGGTACTTTTGTTTTTATTTATGTTGGGTTGAATTCTGACTAATTTATTAGTACCTAATTTGTTTACATTTTATATTAGGCATTGGTTCCGTTCGCTGAGCAGTCGTGTAGCAAGTGACGGCACAGAAAGGACTTTTGTTTCACCAAACGCCAGTGAAGAGGGACCTCGTAGCTAGGGCCAAAACGTAACCTCTGACAACTTTTTCACATAACTAAATTTGGCTAAAACACTATTGGTCTAAGACTAGTATTGTTGGAACAATGCGGCGTGCAAGACGGGAAGTACTACTGATTTGTAGAGGTATATGAATACCTCTGTAGTATGAACTACAAGATATAAAACCTTCATAATGAAAACCGTTACCGATACAACCCTTACTGTCTATCAAGGAAAACCAGGAAAACATGCTATTATTTTGAGTACTCTGCACCTCAACATAAATATAGGTACTGACAAAAAAGTTGCCTGAAATAATTGAATTTTACAATAGGTACAACAAAATTTAGTGTAGACATCAGCGATCAAATGACACGCAAGTATACCGTAAGAGCTGGAAGTCGAGGATGGCCTGTCATGTATTTTACAATATATTTGATTTAGTAGCTATAAACTCGTGTGGATTCTTTATCAAAAAGTTATTAGGAATAAAAAATTCTCGTCATGATTTCATCATTCAACTATTGAGCGTACTACGTGAAGAGTATGTGAAAAAACACCACTTCAACTATAACACAGCATCAAGAAACTAATTCTAAAACAAGTGTACCATCTACTAAAAACAATAAGAGGCGGTAATGTCAAATCAACAGTAATTGTAAAAAAATAAAACATGTGAAAACTGTATTATCTGTAAAAAAACTTGTTAGTGGAAAATGTAGAAAACAGTTTAAAAACCTATTAGATACTTGCTACAAATGTTCCTCAATTTAATGCATTTTTTTACTATTAGTAAAAAAATACATTTATATTATTTTTATTTTATTTTAATGAAAAATTTGCAATAATTTCATAAGTATTCTGACTTAATCCCTAGTACCGTCAAATTGACCGCTGCGGTCTTTGAAGGTATAGCATGAAGCCTGGCCCTTCTAGTGTTAACTAGTTTCAAGTCCCTCGTTAGGGGTGATTGTATTTTATACACCTTCCACAATTTCCACCTCTGCAACAGTGAATTTTGAAAGACGCACACCTGTTAGTATCTCACTTGACCTATAAATCGAGACTAGAAACCCCATCGTACTTTCACAACAGACTCCACCTTAACTTCAGACAGTCTTACAAATTAGTCTCCTCACATGTACAGTAAGATCCCCCCACAAAATACAATAGTGTCGTCTATTCTGAATCTATTTGCGTATCAATCGAAACGAATCGAACTCGTTTCATTTCGAACCGATGGCAGTAACATTAGGGGGCAGATTCTTTGAATGCTTCGAGCCTAAATTTTTACTGCATCCGTAAAAAGAATTCCCGATTCAGCTACAGGGGTCTTTGTTTGGTACAAGTTTCGAGAAAGGCAATTTTTTTAGAACTTTGGTAGCTTCATGTTTTTTAGGATTAAAAAAATGATCCTTGGCTTCTAAATGGGAAATTAGGAACGGAACGAATGATTGTAGGTTTAATTGATGTAATCTATACTATATAATATTATAAAGCTGAAGATTTTGTTTTTTTGTTTGTTTGTTTGTTTGAACGCACTAATCTCCGAAACTACTAATTCGAATTGAATAATTATTTTGGTGTTGGATAGTCCATTTATCGAGGAAGGTTATAGACTATAAAACATCTCGGTACGACCAATAGGAGCAGAGCAGGGCGGGTGGAACCACGTGCAAGTAGCTAGTTAGGAATCATATTTTTGCTAATTCAGTCATTTGGTAACTGTGAATGTTTCCACTCGCAAATCTTGGGACCATTCGCGGTGAAAAATATTCGATCTTGAAAGTTATTTTGTATACTTTACTTTCCCTACAATTTATTAGTTTAGTTACTTATTTCTATTTTGTTGAAACAATGACTACCATGGAACTAAATTTTAATAAAACTTGCAAAAATTTAGTACCTACCTCTTCATAACCACTTCAAACGACGAAAACTTTTTTCTCCTCGATTCCCAAAACGCTACCTTCCATCACACAAGCCCTATTTCTTGTACGTAAATTGGATTCCAAGTAGTAGATACGGGTAGGTCTATATTAGGGCGATGATGCTATCAAGGCAAATACAAAACTACTGACTACAAACTCAACGTGAGGTGATGTTACGTCCCAATGCAAAGCTATTAGCCAAACAAAATAAACAGATAGGCAACATTTAAATTCTGAAACAGCTGAATGAGAAAACAATAGCGTTTTGAGCTTTGTGAGTATTCTGGAATAAGACTTGTGGAATTTGGTTTGAAAAAGGAATGCTTGAGAAGGTATTAGTGAAAAGATAGTTAGGCTAAGGTCCCATGGCGCGATTTTCTCCTGCGCCCGTCGGGTTTTTTTTTAGTTGGGGAAAATCGTCGAATGACGTCTCCCACCTGGCAAAGCAATCGCAAATGTGCTTTGATTTTCTACATACATATCTGTATTTTACAAAGGCTGCGGGCCTGCAACCGCGACACGGAACAAAATAGCACCGTTAGTCCTTAGCCTTAGAATATTGAGAAGGGGCTTCATAGTCTATTAAAAATATTAATCCATACTATTTTATGACATAACCTTGAATCATGTCTTCACCTTGAAAAACTTGGCATCATGATCGTTTGTCTCATTCCTAACAAAAGACGATAATCAACTTGAAGACATAATTATTCAAAAACTTCAGCCACTCCAATGTCTTAACTATTAAGTATTCCGCAATAAAAATGATTTTATTTACAACATTCATTTAACATGTAATTACTATAAGAAGTTCGTCAATACACCAATAGATGGCGCTGAATTGTTATTATTCATCTAACCTGCTTTTGACTATTTCTCTAATTTACACGTTTTTCTCATCAGGTGCCTTCTCAAGAACATTTAGCCGAGTCAAGTTGACACACAACCCCCTGTATTCTGCTGTAATGAAGTTCTATAATGAGATTGAGAAGCCAGTTTGTGTCTACGATAGATTAGGCGTCAAGAGATACTTCAAAATATATATTGTCGCCTTGAAGACCAGGTATAGGCATCGAGGTTAGTTAAATAACTGAGAAATATTATTGTAACTGCTTTGTTGTACCAAATAAAACTTTAGCTGATAGATAATAAGAATTTGAATAAAATAGCAAGTTTGGTAATACGAATACTATCTTTGATGTAGTTCGTTCTGAAAAGATATTTTTAACATCACCCAAAGGTCTGACTGGGAGAAAATGCCTGCGGTATTAATTCCACCTTATGTACACTTTGTGCATGAAGCTTAAATAAATAAATAAAAAAGTATGTTTCTGAAAAGTATATTTTAATGAAACAGAGAGGCATATAAACAGACCTGATGGTAAGCAAACGCTATTAACACCAGACCAGGTGAAACACCAGAGGAGTTAAAAATGCGTTACCTTTTTGGGATCCAGGAATTTGTTGCTGGCCTTTTAGAGATTTAGATATTGAAGTGCAATTAAGTTTTAAGTAAACATCTCTTATAATTTCAGGCATCGCAAAAGAATTGTTAAAAGCAGCAATGTCACTAAGTGCAAGCGCTGGTGTGGCCGGAATCTGCGGTATATTCACAACAGCAAGATTGCACACAGTCGCTCAAGAATTAGGGTTTACGAAACTAAACGAAATATACTATGTGCGGTACCTTATTGATGGGGAGGTGAGTCTTGGAATATTTTGTATTAGTATAAGAAATTTTCAGTTTTATTTCTACTACAGTAAATGTAAATTGAGTAGAAGTTAACACACTAATTGCTAACCGAATATATTGTTGGAGTCAATATGAAAATCAAAGTTTGAACAATTGATATAATTACATATTCAAATTTCTTTTCTATGGTACAATTTATTTTATTTAAAAGACATCAATGAACGATATTGTACAATGTGAGACGCTATCAACAAGTACAAATAAACTCATCTATAGTCAGAATTTTAATTAGATTCCAGATTTGACAATGACTACTGACATTTTGTGAAATAATGATACCACATATAATAGTGTAGTGATGAACACAAAAATCGATAAACAATCAGTGTGTGTGTTTTATAATAAATGTTACAGAAAGTGACAGGATAACGATAGCGATGACGGCGACAATTTATAAAATAACTTATTATCATAACATATATTTGTTTTATTTGTCATGTTCCTTCATGATTACATTTTTTTATTTATTTCACACACAATTATAAAAGAAAAGTCTCAGATCGTTAATTAATCGTCAAAACTAAATTATCGGTTCAGAAATATTTAATTTCCTGATATACTTAGTTTTCGAGAGTAAAATTATAAACGAGAAGAATCGATCCAGAAATCCAAGAAAGAAGATCCATATCGAATAATTTCGCAACGTCACTATTTAGTACTTGTCAACGTTGCAACACTGAAATTGTCAAATCTGGAATCGAATTAAAATTCCGAGTATAGTTGTAAATAAGCTTCCAGCATCATCCAAAGAACAAAATTTGAATGTACATACCATGTACATTTTTTTCACGCCATCATTCACAACGCTATAGCGGAAAGCAAGCAAAGCGCAACTCGTTCCCAGTTTACTACATATGCAAGTCTTTCATCCTATTTCGGTACTTACCGGTCCTATCCATCGTTCCAAGTGATTGGTGAGCGCCACGGTATTTGCCCATCAGATTTTTTGCTCGGGATTTAGTATGCATCGTTGGTACTGATCGACTTCAACAGGTTGTGGATAGAAAAGAAAGAGTTGGTGAAAATATTCTTCTATTTTGTTTTTGTTTGGCGTTTACTTTTAACTGACTGGTTCATTTGTTTTTAGTCCGCATCTATGACTTTTGATAAGGTCAGGAAACCAGTGGATGCAGGTCTGTTTCAATCGACTGTAGTGAAGAATCGTGTTCCAAAGCCATAGCCTAATATGTTAATGAGGTCGTGTGTGCTACTACTGAGTGTAAAATCTTTGCATTTCGGCTCTGTTTAAAAAAAATGTAATCATAATCATAATCATAATAATCATAATCATTTATTCATTTGCGAACATGGGTACAAAAGAAAGGTCTTATACAAAATAGTGTCCATTAACCATATTCTACCTTAAACGCATGTAGTTATGTTCTCGACATAACTACTATTCTATACGGTATTCTTGTTACGGAGAACCTAACGGGTTACCGGAGCTCCGGCTCGACGTGCAGGAGAAGGAACGGGGTGGTTTTTAGTCAGTAAGAGTTTGGTACTCTCTCCCGCCTCACCCAGGAGGGAGCAGTCATGCGAAGATTTTCCCCGCTTGAAAAAAAAACGGTATTCTTAAAATTATGATGTACGCCTTTGCCAACACCAAAAACACAGATTATGTTATAATAAAAAGAAAGCATATTTTTAAAACACATTAATTTTTCTTCTATCTCCAGATCGTCTTCTGGGACACCGGTCTAGGTAACTACGGAGCAGCGATCATGGCGCTTCGTATACCAAACGTGGAAGAAATTCAAGAGTTGCAGACACAGCACTCGTCCAGGTTCAATATTCCTCTCAAAGTTGATGAAGACGAGACTGAGGAAGATAAGGCACAGACTGCCACACCAACTGATGTTCCGGATAGTGCGACCACTAAATCTGAAGCAACGCCAAAGAAATAAATTGTTGATTAGTATTTTTTTGGACTTTTTATTATTATCTTTTAAAGTTTTGTTATTTTGTTAGGCATTCAGGTCTATTATGAGAAATTAGATAAGAATTTTCGTGGTTAGATAAAGTATATTTAAGTATTTCGCTTTCCGCAATTTTTTGTAAAAATCTGTCCGATCGCATGGGCTCTCAAAAAGATACCTACCACATTATTTTGTTGCGTGCGAATTCTACTTAGCTTTTAAGAAGTTTAATACAAGTTCTTGTATGTTAGTTTAAAAAAATATATTTAATCTTAACCAATACAGCATTTAAATCTTATACCATTATATAAAGCGGAAGAGTTTGCTTTTTGAACGCGCTGATCTCCGTAACTACAAGTCTGATTTGAATAATTCCTTTTGTGTTGGATAGCGCATTTATTGAGGATGTCTATAGGCTACAAAACATCACGCTACGACCAATAAGAGCTGAGCAGAGCGTGTGAAACCGCGCGGAATTAGCTAGTGGAAGAATAAAAGGCAATAGAAAATCCTGCAATTGATTAGCACCACTTACAACCAAAACACAATAATTCAAACCATTATAACAAATTGTGACATAACAATACCGTTTACGAAAGCTATTTACAGCTTGCGGTACGTGATGGCAATTAGCCTCAACAATATAATATCATATCACTTCACTCCTCACGCGAATTTTCCTGATGTAAAAAAAAGATATTTAACGTCAAATTACACGCCATTTTATTACATGTTACGACACGTTTACGAGACGACCTTTTATGTTAAGGTCTTGGTGTAGTAAATGCTATTGGGAGATGTGTTTTAAAAAATGCACTCAATAAAATATGACGGCTTATCAAAGGTGGAATAGTCTGCTACTTCTTTATATGTTCTGTGGTAGAAACTCAAGTGCTTTGTTTTAAGTTACTAAATGTCTACGGGCAAAAGGAATAACATGGTAATGGATCACCTGATATACAGCGATCACCACCGCCTTTGGAAAACACCAGAGAAACTATAATTGTATTGTTGGCCTTTAAGAAAGAAATTGGTACACATTCAGTGAGCTACAGTTTAAGTGTAGGAGAGCCATGCTTAGGCGCGAATGAGCCAGCTTGACCGTAGTGATACGACGGCCTCATAGAAAACCAACGTAAATCAACGCTTGCATCGTGTTTCGTGCCAGTAGGCCCAATCCTCCCCCCCCCCGCCTTCACCAATCTCCCCAATCCTTGAATCTCCAACAATCCTTAAATTCTTCATCCCCAAAAGGCCGATAACACGCTTGTAATGCCTCTGGCGTTTCGGGTGGCCATGGGCGACGCCGATTGCTTACCATTAGGTGATCTATCTGCTCGTTTACCAGCTTAATATCCCATAAAAAATACAATATCTAACGTTTGTATTATGCAAAAATATCGCATTGCCTATTTTCAGTTACGTTTGTGTACAAAATCCTAATAATTTTACGACACGTTCATAAAACTGGTAATCGCTGGGAACGAACGGATGGACGCTACTGCCAGTCGCCATTTTGTTGTAATGCTACAGGTGATGCTTACAGATGTCATCAAGGAATTCAAGTTAGACAAAAATGTTGGAAAAGATAAATTATAAAAGTTTTGTAATGACTAAAAACCCTGTTCTACTGATGCTCATTATATACGAAATAGCACTGTGTCGCAGAGAAGTGTGGCGGGTTTATTAAGACAATTAAACCTGTTATTGCAAGATTTCTTCAGTAAGCGAATATTTTTAAATGAGTGTACTACTAAACGCCTCCTTTTACTCAATGCTAAACATACCAATCATACAAATAACTCTTGATCATAACAACATAACATCTTTTACCCGAAAGGGGTAGGCAGAGGTGCACATTATCCCACTGTATAATGTAACACCCACTTTTCACTTACACTTTATGTTATGAGTCCCATGTAATAGGAATAGGGAGTTAGCCCATTGCCATATACCACAATTCCAGACTCCGAGCTACAACTGAGATTTTTTTTTAATCCTAGTAATACTTTGCCCGACCCAACGAGACCTCTTGCTTGGCAGTCGCATTTAGGACCACACGGCCAACGAGGCAGTCGAAATTCTGGATCATATACAAATTTCATCATCCTGACTAAATGAATGCATTTTAAAACTCAATTTAACTTTCACTTTTATAAAATGATCATCTCTGCCCATCCCATTTACGGAACCATGAAGTTATATTAAGTATATCTATTGTCTCCAGTTTCTTAAACGGTAAATGATCGATTTCATACCTTCCCCCTCGTGATATAAATTTCATAATGAGCTGCAGATGTTTATCGTTGATGCCTGTCCGAACTTTGATTAAATAAGTTATTTTTCTATAAAACTTTAGATTGTTCGGGTTTTTGATTTTGTGCTTTGAAATTAGCAGTACCTACGTAATAACATAGTCTGGAATTGAATCGAATTATGTTAAGTGAAGAAAATTTTAAGTGTGGGAGAGCCATGCTTCGGCACGAATGGGGCTCATCGGATCATCTGATGGTAAGCAATCGTCATCGCCCATGGACAATTGGAACACCAGAGGCGTTACAAGTGCGCTACCGGACTTTTGGGGATTTTGAATTTGAGGATCGATGGGGATTCAGGAATTGGGGAGATTGGGGAAGGGGAAGGTAATTGGGCCTCCGGTAACCTCACTCATACGACGAAACACAACGCAATCGTCGCTACACGTCGGTTTTTTGTGAGGCCGTGGTATCACTCCGGTCGAGCCGGCCCATTCGTGCCGGAGTATGGCTCTCCCACACTTGAATCTCATAAATTATTACCCAAGAAGTTAGTGAAAGATAGGGATTATGTAATATGCACCATTACCTACCTCTTCAGGGAAAACGGTGATACATTACAAATACATACCTACTTCTGAATACCGGAAAATATATTTTATATTTTGATAAAGATTGTATAACATTTTTCCCGGAAAAGAACTTTATCTTTCGGTAACGCCGTGGAATATTTATTTTATTCTTACTCGATCAAATAATTCAGTTTCCTGTTACTTGTGTGAGCAAAGATTTCGGGGATACATACATAGGTACATCGTGAACTTTTTGAAGTTTCTGAGTTTTCTCCAACGACCTTAATATTATGAAGTTCTAAAGAAAATATTGTGTATAATAATCTTCAAATGTGTTACTGAACATGAAACGCAAGGGTTTAAGATTTAAGAACCTTCTATGCACAATAATATGTCGTTTTCCTATCTCTCTTATCAGAGATTATCCCATTAAAACTCCTTTGAATTTCATAATAACATTATTCCGTACAAAATGTTTTGCTTTGGTCTGTCTCTTCTTCTACACCTAACCACATATAAATTACACCAAATACTAACTCGGTGAAGTAAGAAAAAGTTTGGATGAAGACATCGCATCAACATCGACCCTCACGACATGCATCCCCACCATATAGATGGTTGGCAGACCACAACTGTGCGCTTCTCACGTAGCTTCCTGCCTCGCACAGCAAAACTGTGGATGATCTGTCGTCGGCGGTATTTCCGAACCGATACGACCTTCAAACATTCAAGAAATGAGCATATTCCTATTCAAAAGGCCGGCAACGCACCTGTGAATCCTCTTGTGTTGCGGGTGTCCATGACCGGCGCTGATCGCTTACCATCAAGTGATCCGTCTGCTCGTTTGCCTCCTATTCCATTAAAAAAACAAACGGAGCTGCGGAGGACTTAACGGGTTGCCGGGGCTCCGACTCCAAAAACAGGAGTAGGATCAGGGTGGTTTTTAGTCAGTAAGAATCTGATACTCTCACCTAAGGCGGGAGAAGTCATTGGATGATTTTCCCCCCTTAAAAACGGAGATGAAGACAAAAATGTCTCAATAATAATTTGATTGAATGTAAGCCGCATATATGCATAATTGAATGTATGACGTCCATCTTAGTAGGTTGGTGCTAGGCGGATAGATTAAGGTCCTGATCCAGAAAGCAGTTCTCCTAAAAACGGCACGTATCGTAAGGTGGTTTTGGTCTCTGAAGCTGAATCACCGGTAACCATTTTTATAGTACTGTTAATTTTTTTTTAGTAAATATAAATGGTAACGGTAACGCACTTGTAACGCCTCTGGTGTTTCAGGTGTCCATGGGCGACGCTGATTGCTTACCAACAGGTGATTCGTCTGCTTGTTTACCGGTTTATCCCGAAAATTTTAAATAAATATATACAAATAATTTGATTGATGTTATGACGTAGTTATAAGCGTTCCTACTTACCATTTCTGGGGCCAAAAGGCACATTATTCAAACTAACTGGATAAGAAACAACGAATTTGTAAAGTACTTCTCAGAAATCAAAGGAAACAAACCTGAACATTTAGCAAAGTAAATATACAGTTGCCATTCCTACTCGAAATGATCTTTTAGGATGATGAGTGAGATAGCAAGATGTAGATTTAGTTGGTTAGACAAGGATGGAGGGTCGAAAGTTTAATCAAAAACAATCCATTTCAATATTATTAATTAGGCTCGCGAACGAGGTTTTGTTAACTATGATGTAAGAAGTCTTGGATGCGGTTTTTTAAAGGAATATTTTTGTTCCATAAACAATATTATTCGAAAACTGTAAAGCTTTAAAATGTAGTTTATCTATTTAAGTATCTCGCTATTAATGTTATGTACTAGTTTTATTTTATATGTAAACCGAACGTCGCAATCATCATCCTATAAATGTCCACTGCTGAGCAAAGCCTTTTCTCACATGGAGAAGGTTTGGGCATTAATCACCACGCTTGCTCAATTTGAGTTGACGATTTCAAGTTTATAATTAGAAATTATAAGCTCAGGTTTCCTCACGATGTTTTCCTTCACCGTTTGTGAAATAATCTTAGAAAGTACTTATAATTCGAAAAAAGTAGGTTTTGAACCCGCATCCTCATGCATGAGAAGCGGTTGTCTTACACATCCTAAATTTCATAATTACAATCAGGAATTAAAAAATATAATTG